ACCGCAATAAAACACAACAGAAGTCTCCACAAGTTTTTATATATGAGGAGTCTTCAAAAAGCTCATGAGAAATATGTATTATGAAACATGATGCGGGGCCGGCTCTGTGGCCCACCCAGGAGACCCAGAAGAAGCGCCTGGCTCCTGGCCTTGGATGGACCCAGCTCTTGCGGTTGCAGCCACTTCAGGAGTGAACCAGCGGATGGAGCAACTCTCTCTGCCTCTCCCTCTGCGTCTCTGTAATTCTGCCTTTCAAATAAACCTTTAAAAACAGAATGCATGCATTTTAAATATTTTTGTATAAGAAACATCTTTTTATTCCATTTTTCGACAGACTTTTAAAAGCACCCTCACATATGCAGAAACAATGCTCAACTTAAACTACCAAAGGCAAGAGACAGCAGAACATGAAGAGTCTTGCTTTCAGAGGCCCAAAACTTTGGCAGCAAGAAATAACCTAAGTGTTCATTTACAAACCTTCATGAAACAGGGTGAGTCAGGAAACAGAACTAAATGCCCAAAAGGCAAGGCTGAGAGCCACTGGTGACTGTACGTAAGAACTGAGAAACAGCCAACAAAGGAACTGGCTTGATAGGACTTTAGAATTGCTATGGACTTGGGACTCCCTGTGCCTAACATCTCTCTTTCCCCCTCACCTTTTTTCTTTTTTTAAAAAAAGCTTATTTATTTGAAAGGGAGATTTACAGACAGACAGACACACACATACACACACAGGTCTTCAATCCACTGTTTCACTCCCCAGATGGCCTCAACAGCCGGAGCTGAGCCGATCTGAAGCCAGGAGCTTCTTCCAGGTCTCCCACCTGGGAGAAGGGGTCCAAGGACTTTGGCCATCTTCTACTGCTATCCCAGGCCACAGCAGAGAGCTGGATTGTTAGTGGAACCACCAGGGCCTGAACCAGCATCCCAGCACTGCAGGCAGCAGCTTTACTGGCTATGCCACAAAGCAGGCCACCTTTTAATAGAAAGGTTTTGGGCTGGCGCCGCGGCTCACTAGGCTAATCCTCTGCCTGCGGCACCAGTACCCTGGATTCTAGTCCTGGTTGGGGTGCCGGATTCTATTCCGGTTGCTCCTCTTCCAGTCCAGCTCTCTGCTGTGGCCCGGGAAGGCAGTGGAGGATGGCCCAAGTCCTTGGGCCCTGCACCCGCATGGGAGACCAGGAGGAAGCACCTGGCTCCTGGCTTCACTTGGGGGGTGAACCAACAGAAGGAAGACTTTTCTCTCTGTCTCTCTAACTCTGCCTGGAAAAAAAAAGAAAGAAAAGAAAGGTTTTATAGCAATATCCATCTCACTCAATATTTTAGGGTTTGGTGGGAAAAAGGAACAGATAATGTAATCTCTTTAGCTTAACAAGAGGTACTATATTTGAGAAGCTGTACTTAAGAACACACATACAAGAAGCATCAATTATACCTGTACTTGATTTAGTTGAGACTGGGCTTTGAGTTAATCCTGTACTGAGATGAGCCTTTTGAGGGTTGAGGAGGACATCACAGTAACTTTCACATAGGAGGAGTGTGAATCTTCAGGAGCCAGGAGGAACCAGTAGTACACAGCCTACAGTGCTTTCTACCTTCTGGCACTCACAGCCTTGTGTAGTCCCCCACTATAGTTCACCAGCACTGATATTTGTGACCAACAGAATAGGAAAGAAGTGATGGTATATAACTTCTGGAATTAGGCCATGAAACAGTGTAGTTTGTCTTTTCTGTTCTTTTGTTTGTAATCTCAATCTCTCTCTCCTCCCCCTCCTTCCCTGTTTTTTCTGGATCTCTTCACTCTGGGGGAAGGCGGTTGTCATGCTGAGACAGCCAATGGAGAAACCTTCTGCTTGCTGCCATGTGAATGAACTTGGTGAATCTCTAGACCTGGTCAGGCCTTCAGAAGCCTGAAACCCCAGCCAAAGAACTTCACTGTGATTATATTCTTAACCATATACATGGGGGCCAGCGTTGTGGCTCAGAGGGTTAGAGCCCCTGGCCTGCAGCGCTGGCATCCCATGTGGGTGCTGGTTCAAGTTTCAGCTGCTCTACTTCTGATCCAGCTCCCTGCTAATGTGCTTAGGAGAGCAGCGGAGGATGACCCAGTGCTTTGGACCCCTGCACCCACTTGGGAGACCCAGAGGAGGCTCCTGGCTTCAGATCGGGGAATGAACCAGTGGATGAAGGCCTTTCTCCCTCCCTCTACCTCTCAGCATTTCAGATAAATAAAACAAATCTTAAAAAAAAAAAAAAACTGTATATAAGAAATAGTGCATTTTTTTCCATTTATATAAGAAAAAAACTTCACTGTGTCATTGTGAAAGCCTCTGGGTGAATATCACCAAAATAAGCCACTCCTAAATTCCTAGCCCTCAGAAATTGTAAAGTACCTATATTTTTGGTTTAAGCTACTAAATTTGAGGGTAATGTGCTATGTAGTAATAAATAACACAGGGATTAAAAATGAAAAAGGGAAAACACCAGAAATGGAGACACAGGCCAGATCATGCAGGGTCCAGTAAACCCTATTAAGGAGTTTTTGCATATATATTTTTTTAATTTGATAGGTAGAGTCATAAACAGTGAGAGAGACAGAGAGAAAGGTCTTCCTTCCTTTGGTTCACTCCCCAAATGGCTGCTACAGCCAGCGCTGTGCCGATCCGAAGCCAGGAGCCAGGTGCTTCCTCCTGGTCTCCCATGCGGGTGCAGGGCTCAAGCACTTGAGCCATCCTCCACTGCACTCCCGGGCCACAGCAGAGAGCTGGACTGGAAGAGGAGCAACCAAGACTAGAACCAGGCGCCCATATGGGATGCTGGTGCTGCAGGTGGAGGATTAACCAAGTGAGCCATGGCGCCAGGCCCTGCATTTTAATTTGAATGTTACATTTTAATCTGAGAAAAAGTTACAATTTGAAGATTTTACATATCAAAGTAACAACCAAATTCTCATTTAAGAAACACCACCTTGAAAACTGAGGGGGCTAGAGTTTTGAAAACTAAAGGTAGGGAGACCATCTTAGAAGTAATTATAAACCTCCCTGAATAAGAGGGCATCCTACTCTTTTAACAGCAGTTTTTAGATTCAGTTACATTAGTTTAAATGACACAGCAGCCATGAGAGCTTAGAAATCACTAAAATGTATAGAACACAGAAAAACAATGCAGAATTTTTTGACTGCTAATAATCCTGCAAAACAGTTTATACATTCCTAGGCATCCACTAAGAAACCAAGCATGTATTTAAGATTAGATACCATGTTTATTATTTCTATTACATTGTACAACTAGGCATGCATAAAAACCAAGGCCTACTGCCTATCAAAATACAATCAAAATCATGTTATGATGGAAATTTATTGAAAATTTTTAACTTACTTGAAAAACACATTTCTATTCCTTAAGCACTAAAAACTAAAAATCATTATAAAAGATCTGAGCACACACGGACACACACACGCATGGCACCACACTATACACGTCACAGAGGATCTTGTTCAATTCCTACATCAAGCAAAGAGGGGTGGGGTAAGTGGCACAACCAGAACTACAACCAAGCCTAACTCAACAGTGCATGCTTTGGACTCAGGGGAGCAGCTCTTGTCAACTCTATCAGATCCTATTTCTCTTCAATTTTCTTCACTATCCTACTTAACACACATGTTTTTCAAACAATCCAAGGACAAAGTAAAGGAGAAACAGAAGTGGTTTATGTAAAATATGTACTTTAACACTAAGTGCTTACAGTATCTACCCAGGAAACCAAAGTGATGCTCACATATCTGCATATAAAAATAAGAGCTAAAAAAAAACCAGACTTTCTACTGTTATCGATTCAAATACCATAAATGGCACTGGTGCTGACAAAGTCGTTTCCAAATAATAATTCTTGCAAAAGTTTTGAACGAAAAAGACAATATTTTCTTAATTTAAAAATATTCCTGGACATTTGATAGACCTTTTTTTTGGACAGAGTTAGACAGTGAGAGAGACAGAGAAAAAGGTCTTCCTTCCATTGGTTCACCCCCCAAATGGCCGCTACAGCTGGGGCTACGCCGATCCGAAGCCAGGAGCCAGGTGCTTCCTCCTGGTCTCCCATGTGGGTGCAGGGTCCCAACCACTTGGGCCATCCTCCACTGCCTTCCTGGGCCACAGCAGAGAGCTGGACTGGAAGAGGAGCAACCAGGACTAGAACCTGGCACCCATATGGGATGCCAGCACCGCAGGCGGAGGATTAACCCAGTGAGCCACAGCACCAGCCCCAGATAGACACCTGTATATCAAAACAGTACAAAAAATTGCTACATGTAAAGTGGAATTGGGCTTCTAAACTCAGATAATTTATAAATTATACCACTTCATTTTATGGTACTGTTTTTTGCCTGGTGGGACTTAACATCGCCCCAGCCCCTCTCCTGTCAATCAAATGCCAATAGCCTTCCCCAATACTTGTAACAATGAAAACCATCCCTCATCAGTTTCCAGAATGTCTCCAGATAAAGAACGGTACAGCCCCCATTGACAACAACTGTAGAGGAAGGAGAGGTCTCAGATACTCAATTTAAGGTTCATGCTCTAAGTCCTGAAATGTGTGTGCTGCCTCAAAATCCCTCTTTATGAAGACATTTACACAACTGCACAGCAGGAGTGATAAATACTTGAAATCCAAGGGCCTACCTGTTTCACTCAGTGAGCTAGGCTCCCTAACTGTAGGAATGGTATCTTCAACTGTTTGCCATTCTTCACATCTGTTAACCACAGTCAGTCCATAGCAGCATCACCCTCTCTCACCACCACTCTCACCTCAGCATCTCTCAGTCCTCATTCCGTTCTGCAGGATGAAGATGCATCACTGAAGTCTTCTTTCTATTCACTCTCTACTGCTTCCAGCAGTGTTCTTTCCACCTGTTTGCCCGGTGGTGTCTTCCAGAAACAAGACTCCCCCTATCCCTCCCTTCCAAGCAGAAGCTGTTTCTTTTCCCTATATCTCACACACTTACAGTTGGGGTAGGTATTCATCCTCCTTAGTTCGCACTGCCAATGCTATACCATCTTCTTTATTGTCCTTTCAAAAAAAACACACACCCTTAGAAGCTCATGGCATCAGTTTCTCCCGTACAGCTGTCACACACTCTCAGTCTCAATTATGGAGCTCAACTACTACACTCTGGCACCATTCTGACATGGAAGATAATACCATGACTTCACACCCAAACTGATCTCCTCTAGTCTCTCTCAGCCACCACTTCTGTGGTTGTACCACAGATCTTGCCTTCACTAATTACCATGCCACCTCTGAAAAAGAAATTCAGTCCTCTCACTGTCACCACTCCCCTCCTGCCTTGGCTTCACCTATTCAAACACTTCTACCATAACAGATCACTCTGCCAAGCCTTCTACTACAGTGAGCCCCACCGGCTTTCCCTGACTCCTGCACTCCTTGCCTACTCAGTTTAGGTACCATGGTCCATCATGATAATCTACTTCACAAATACTTTAACTCCTTCATCTTTCCTTTTTTGTATTTGCTGGGTGAACCTCATTCCTAGAGAAGCCCTACTATTTACCTACAACATGTTGGCAATCAGGTTGAATGCTCAACTGCCCCAATGAGCTGACTGATCTCTTTAAATGATCACAAATGCTGGGTTCGCAGCAAGACCATCAAGCCTATACTTTTCCAGTAAGTTAGCTTTCCCATACCTTTGTCTCTCTTCCGGTTCCCCCACATTCTGAGGAGATGACCTCACTTCATACATCAGAAAGGAAACAGAATCACAGGATAAATTACCACATCCTCTCATTTTTTAAAAAAGATTTATTTATTTGAAAGAGAGAGAGGCAGAGGGAGAGAAGTCTTTCCTCCACTGGTTCATTCCCCAGAGGGCTGCAATGGCCAGAGCTGGGTAAATCTGTGGCCAGGAGCTTCTTCTAGATCTCCCATGTGGGTACCGGGTCAAGGACTTCTACTGCTTTCCCAGGCCACAGCAGATAACTGAATGAGAAGTGGAACAACCAGGACTTGAACCGACACCCATATTGAATGCTGGCATTGCAGGTGGTGGCTTTACCCACTACACCACAGCACCAGCCCCTCATTATTTTCTATCTTTCTGCCTTCCTTACTTTGAAAAGAGAAAAACATTCTTGCTCTAATTAGTAATCAATCCTTCCATGAAACTGGTCCAGAACAGGAAAGTGATTAATATTTTAGTCTACTGTTGATTAACTTTGTTCTGGCTGTAAGTCATTTTATAGTTTCTCTGCATACCTTGTAATTTTTGATTGGATGCCAAACAGTTTTATGTTGTAGAATCTTTTAGTATTATTTTGAACATTTTGTATCTTTGTTGGGACACAAGTTACCTGAAGCTTAATTTGATTATTTTGATGCTATTTTTCAATCTTTGTTGACCACAATGATCTTTGGAGCTAAGCTGGTCCCACTATTAAGCCAATAACCTTCTGAAGCCTGTATTTGATGTCCATGTTTTAGGACAATGATGGAAAGGTAACATGCCCTGCCCTGTAAGCTTCCACAACTGTTCCTCTTCCTATTTCTCTCCAAAAGCTTCCCTCCAGACTTGGAAGTTTTCTCACGGGACAGGCTCAGATGAAGTTATAGGCAACTCCCCTCTGTAGATCTCTAAGCTCTCTTTCTGTGCAGCCAATACTCTTTCATCCACATGACTCTGGGCTCCCCAAACTCTTGAGTTCTCTGCTCTTCAAGTAGCTGCCCCACTGTTTGGGTTCTCTCTTCCCTGTGATATAATCTAAAGATTCTCAAGAGAGTGAACTTGGGCAATCTAGGGCTCAGCTTTGTCCATTTTCCCTCCCTTGTGTCTGATTTATTTCTGTAAATCATTTCGAAAATAAATCATTTGTTGATTCAACAGCCCCTCCCCCGCCCCCCCCCGTTAGCTACTGCCCTATTTTTCTGATCTCTTTTCACAACAGAACTTTGACAAAGAGTTAACTGTGCTTGTTATGTCCCTTTTTTGTCCCTTATTTTTTTCTACTCCTACTGGGCTTTCCTTCCTGCCATTCCATCACAAAAGGCCAACAGCAATACATCTAATCAATTACTTTCCTATATCCATCTTCTCCGTGGACACAATTAATCAATGTCCTTTCTTCTGAGATACATTTATCCTCACTTTCTTCCTGATAGCTCCTCCTTTACCTAAGTCACAGAGCTTTAAATACCAACCATATGCTAAAGACATACAAATTTATAGAACCAATCCATAACTTCAGAATGACAGCACAAATTGCCCTAATGCACTACATTCTTATAGAGCCAATTGGATTCGAATGAATGAGCAGCATTTCAAACTCAGGTAGTCCACCCTTTCTATACTCCCTCCTCTAATTTTCTTAGTTATCTCTGTGGAAGAAGCCCAGTCATCTATCTAGTGGCTCAAGCTATAAGAAGTTCATCCTTGATCCCTTCCATCCAGGACATTCAAACCCATGGGCAAGTTCTGTTGATTCCACCTTCAAAATATTACTCACATTCATCTACTTCTCTTCACATCCACTACCACCCTATTAAAGCCACCATCACCTATTACTCTTTGTCCAGTATGTTTCATTTGCCACAAGGCAGCCAGAATAATCTTGGGAAAAAGTTAGATCATGTTGTCACTTTTTTCCTGAAACTCTCCGGTGATTTACTTCATTTCAAAACAATCCAAACTCCTATAGAAGCTTTACCTGATCTGGGACCCCTGACTATCTATGGCTTCTCATCTCAGAAAATCCATTCCTTTGCTCAGTGTCCTGGTCCTTTTTGTTCTGACCTCAGGCTGTCTGCCTGGAATATTCTTTTACAAGATCTTCACAGATCTGGCTCATTCCCACCATTCAAGTTTAAGGTCAAATGTTCCTTGATCATCTATGTAAAAAAACAAAAACAAACAAACAAAAAAAAACACAAAACTATGTCCTTTCTTCTACTTGAAATTCTGTATTATCTTGTTTCATTTCCATAAAAGTCATATTTTTACTTTCATTCACTTGTTTTTGGTCTGTGATCTCTCATCATAATTTAGTCATTCAATATATCAAATATGGAACAGTGATGACAGCCAAGCATTGTTTCAGGTGCCAAAAACACATCAGCGATTAAAGCAGACAGAAAGTCCTGCCCCCATAGGGTCCACAGCCTACCCAACCTAAGGTTGAGACAGCCCTTATTTGTTCCTTGTACCCAACAGAAACAAAACCACTAGCTGGCTCATAGCAAAGAAGCAACATACACTTGCTACAAAAGTAAATACAAATGGATCATGAACATTTTCTCAGTCTTTGTAGAATGCACCGCTACTCTAATATTGCTATAGCTACCAGAACAATGATCAAATTCTTCCTTTAGATTTCACAAACACCCACACTTATACTTTGTTTCACCATTGGATTCTATTACCCTAAAAGTAAAGCATGTATTTGAAACTACCGTTACAGAATTCTGGCTCAAATCTCAGAATTTTCACAATGATAAAGGCATTCTGTGGCTACTACACCCATTTACAGCCTTTAACTTCTTCAGACACCAGCTTTAGAACTTGAGCCTTCAGAAACTAAACTGGAACAAATTATCCATGCACTAATTTCTGTATATGTTTATATAATATGCAAATGAAAGCATTAGTTCAAGACCTACCAACTATTCTATGAGCACGTAAAATACACTTAGAAATAGACAATTATATTGTCAGCATAATACATTTACCACAATAGCTATCCTAGGACTTCTCCTCCAATTTAGTCAAGAAAATCTGGGTGCACACGAGTAGGTTTGCACATCCACACAGCGTCAGAGGCTAGAGCAGGACTTAGGTCCAGTAACGCCCAGTAGGATGCTTTTCTCAGCAGTGACTGTCTAAAAGACAACTTTCCAGTTGTTTTTACCACTGTATTATACAACTGTACAAGGGGAAGGCTCACAGATAACACTTTTCTGTCCGAAAATCCCAAACACAGGGATTATATAAACGACAGAGATCATTTCTGAGCACCAACAAAATGGTCATTCTAAAAATTCAGTTAGTGTTTGGTATCAATGAAATTCAACTGTACATTCAACTGTACATACTGCCTTATTCATGCCTCAAAGCTACCTCATAAGCTATTGAGACTGCTAAGACATCAGAGACTGAGGGTCATTCCGGGAAAGGAAATGACCTAAAGGCCACAAGTCAAGGTGCATTTTCTCTGATAGCTATTTCTGGGGCTTCTAATTATCAAAATAAATCATCCCAATAATACAAGAAGATTGGTTGGCCGGCGCCGTGGCTCAATAGGCTAATCCTCCACCTTGCGGCGCCGGCACACCGGGTTCTAGTCCCGGTCGGGGCGCCGGATTCTGTCCCGGTTGCCCCTCTTCCAGGCCAGCTCTCTGCTATGGCCAGGGAGTGCAGTGGAGGATGGCCCAGGTGCTTGGGCCCTGCACCCCATGGGAGACCAGGAAAAGCACCTGGATCCTGGCTCCTGCCAACGGATCAGCGCGGTGCGCCGGCTGCAGCGGCGGCCATTGGAGGGTGAACCAACGGCAAAAGGAAGACCTTTCTCTCTCTGTCTCTCTCTCACTGTCCACTCTGCCTGTCAAAAATAAAAAAAAATAAAAAAAAAAAAATACAAGAAGATTGGGAAATACATTAAGCCAATCACAAGACAATTTTACCTGGGGTTGTCCTTGCCCTTGTACTCTAAGGCCACATCCTATTTCTTTAGCCAGAGCTTGACAGCACTGAGGGATATTCAACCAAAACAACCTTTTACAATCTGTTAGAAAACTCAGCAAGCAACATCACAGTGTATCTCCAAAACAGAACCAAACTTTTAAAATACAACACCCATCACAGCTAAAAATGAGGAAAATCTTTATCTTTTAAAGAACTGATTACAGCTGGATTTATCAAAGCTACAGCTCAGATAATACACCATAGATTTGTTAAGTATAATAAGATTGTTTTTTAATCTATTTACTACATTTAAAATACGTTATCAGCTCAAAACCATTATCTACAATTTCGAGGATCAAGTTAATAAACTTGATCAAGAAAAATCTGCCATAAATGTGAAGACAACACAGCCTAAGTATTGAAAGCAATTCTAGCCAGTTGTTTAGAACATGAATCCTTTGTTTCCTTGATGATTTCCCTAAATTTTATTATTACCAAAAAGTTCTTATATTAAGTCATTCTAATGTCTGAAAGTTAAAGTATAATCTATACTGAAGTTTGGTTTCTAATAAGAGTATTTCATACTTTCATATTGCTCTCAAACTTCAAAGACTCATAACTCAATTTATTCTCAGATGACAAATTCTCATTTCTTTGTGGATTCTCTTCTTGTAAGAAATAGAATTCCAAGTTATGCCATTATTCCATAGTTTCACTTGTCCCTTTAAAATATCACCCTCTGCTTTTAACCAACTGCAAATGACAATTAAGCACTCTTCATTTGTTTCAGGGAGTCACAAATATATTCAAGGCTCCATACCTTTATACATACAAAATGAACTCTTGACCTTACTAAAGAGCTTAAAAACATGGCTCGGGGTGTATGTGCGTGCAAGTGTCTGTGTGTGTTCATAAAGCTTTCATACAGGCTTCATTACCACCACTGCATACCATGACACTGAATGCAAAATACAAAAAACTAAAACCCAGTCCATTTACAGTTGAATACTAGAAGTATACTAGACATGACTGGCATAGTATGTAATCCTAGTCACAAGTTCCTGAACCTTTAAGCACAGCTTTTTTTTATCCCATTTTCAAGATTTAAGCTACTCTGTATTTTGATGTTACTTTTAATTAAATTCTATTAAGGGATCAGCGCTATGGCATAGTGAGTTAAGCTGCTGTATGCAATGAAGGCATCCCATACTGGAGTGCCAGTTGGAGTCCCGGCTGCTCTGCTTCCCATCCAGCTCTCTAAGTCACGTGGGAAAGCAGTGGAAAATGTCCCAAGTACATTGGCACCTACCACCCAAGAGACAGACTTGGATGGAGATCCAAGGCTCCTGGGTTCACCCTAGCCCAGGCCAGGTCATCACGGCCATTTGAGGAGTGAACAAGCAGATGGAAAATCTTTCTGTCTTTCCCTCTCTGAGACTCTGCCTTTCAAATGAATCAAGTGGTTTTTAAACATTCTACTGATTAGCAGAAAGAGGCCATTATTTCGGTGTAAATCCCACTGCTGATCAAGAAGCATCGACAAAAACAGCATTAGAGAACAAACCTATTTGTTTTGACTACTGTTTTCCAAGAAAATGAAGATTAAGTACACACCCCCAATTTTTCCCATCCAACTGGACACTGAAACATAAGAGTATCAGAAAGTTAAACATGCAGGTCCTTAGGTCTCCAAGAGGTTCCTTTGATAGTGGAGTCCTCGGTCCTGGGTTGGCTGGATTGTTTTATAACTATTCTCCTTCTAATAAGTCTTTTTAACAACTGCAACACTAAGAGAAAACCAAAATGATTCTATTTGAAATTCCTAGGCCAGCAGATCTAAACCTGAGCTTTCTGCCCTGAGCCATTGCAAGTATCTTGAGACAATGATGGCAAGTACCAGTCTTCCCCCAGAAAAACAAGCCACAAAATGTTGTATGTCTAACATGGGAATCCAGCCTTTCCACGTAATCTTCAGAGCCCCAGCCTAGAAACTTCTACTCAAAAGTACCTTGGGCAGTGCAGAAAGCGGAGATTCGATCTCACTATTGCCTCTCAATTACCTCTGATTTTTATCTGGACTATTTAACAGCTAATGCTAAAACTCCAAATACTCTCAATTCCTTTCTAATTCAAACCATCTGTATAGGTTTTTTTTAAAACTAAATTCTGCTAATTATAATTTGAGATTTCAC